GATGAGGCTTGTTTTCTGGCTCCTGCAAAAAGGAGGCAGTGATTTGAGCTCTTGGCAGGAAGGAGCATTGCCACTCCCAGAACTTGTGACCAAAGTTCTGGAAAACGATGGAAAGCGATCATGAGAGAGATTAATGTGGAGTGCCCCAGTATGTTTTAGTGGGTGGGTTCACTGTTTATTGGGAACCACTGAATGTTGGAGGTTAGAATTCCTTCTTGTTACTTGACTCAGGCTGACAGCCTTATCTCAACAATGCAGTAATTGTTGGTGTTGAGTAGGGACAGGGGATAAATTGGATTCAGTTCACATTTGCAGGTGAACCTACCTAATTCACACTTCATGACACAATGTGTGAACTAAAACATAGCAATCCATGAAAATTAGCACTTCTCTGTGTGTTTCTGCCAGGGTAATGTGAGCATAAGAATGTATGCATCAGTGAAAAATAACATCCAGAAATACATTGTATTAGGGGAAATTGCTTTGGAAAAATGTGTATAATTAGACCACATTGCATCCAAAAATGTGCATAATAGGATAAATTACCTTTAAAATGTTAGTGAATTTTCATGAGGACTTTAAGAAAAGAAACTGCAATGTGATGCAGAAATGTGAAGAACTGAACTTAAGACAGGAAAAGTGAGAAATAAAAAGCGACAGATTCGCCATCCAAAGTGCTGAGGCAAAAAGGAGAATAAGACTGATCAGGCTTGCAGTTTACATCCAAACTGTTTCTTTTTGACAATTCCATTTTCAGCTGCTGCTCTGACCCCCTATCTTTCATTAGGGCTGTGCCTGATTTATTTAATTTATTTATTACACGCATAACCCACTTTTCCTCCAAGAAGGTGGTTCTCCCCCTCAGTTTTATTCACATAACAATCCTGTGAGGTAGGTTAGGCTGAGAGACAGCGACTGGCTGAAGGTCACCAGTGAGATTCATGGCTGAGAAGGGATTTTTAACCTTGGTCTCCCAAGTCCTAGTCCAATACTCTGAGCTTTGAAGAAACCTGATCCATAACTGCTTCATGAAGCAGGCCAAATCTCTATTCAGATTTTCCACATATCTGCCAAGATCAAACAAGGGGAGGACTTTGGTCTTTCAGATTTCAGTGGCACACTGCACAAGGCCAAAATTTGACATCCCCCCCTGCCTCTCATCTTCCATTCTGCGTGTGCACCACGTTATAGTTGTGACGTCCTGTGCAGGGGTGGAGGAAGGGGGATGCGGTGGGTATGGGCCGCCCTGGGTGTCACCACTGGGTGTGTGTGACAAAATGCCGGGCAGCACTCACTGCGGGGCCTGCAGCATGCCCAAGCCATGCATCTCTCCTGGGAGTGATGCAGTGGTTTGGGTGCCCACAGGCTCCACGCTGCCCAAAATGGTCCGCCCGCCACCTCCCCCTCAACTGTAGGGTGGCTGAGTGGGATAAGGCAGGCAGACTCCCTGGAGGCCCCGGAGAGCATCCTGTCCTGGCTGGCCCCGCCCCTGGGTGCAGGACATGTGCACCGCCCCCAGGTGCCCCATCAGCTTGTGCCACCTTTGATCCTGTGGTGCCTTTCTCATCTTGATGCCCAGTGTGGGGAAACCAGTTGGGCTGCCCTAAATCTTCCTCTGATCAGATTTTTGCAAGACTCCTATGGCACAGCCACAGAACAGCATAAAAAGCTCTCATGGGTGAATTAATTGGTGCACAAGCCAATCAAAATACGAGGCAAGTGAAAGTATGGATGGCCCCTTAATCTGTTCTTCATCTGCCACATCCTTGCTGCCTTACTGATTTCTTCATTGTTATATAACTCCCCATTGCTCATTGACAGTCCATTTCCTTTCTACTCTTATCCTTGCCTTGCTGCCTCACTTCCATACAGCACCTACTACATAAATAAAGAACAGAAAGTTGTTTGCTGTGACAGGTCTGCTTCTTTGTTTTTGTTTGCTTTTTAAAAAACCAGGTTGGTGCTTTGGGGTATTTCTGAAAATAAGTATTGACCAAGGCTTGAGCTAGGTGGCCAGCTTTGCAATATCTGCTGTTTAAATTGTTCCTCCATAGTTCATGCAGTAAAATGCTGGATATTTTATAACCTTTTCTTTTTTTAACCAGTCCAGGCTGGTGCTCAAAGTTAAAGCTTCCTACTGCTTGTGAAAGGGCTGAAGTGTTGTTGGCAGCTCAGTGTCAGAAGAGCAACTCGTTTACATTTAGAAGAGAAGTCAGATGAGGCTTTCCAGGAGATCAGAAATGCTTTTGCTCTCAGGCCCCATGATAGCTGAAATGTCATCCAATGCTGCTTTAATAGCTGTAGCACTGTTCAGTTGGGTAAGTGTCTGCATGCTGTATAACACACTCTCTCTTCCTCTCCATGTCTTCAATATTTTTTGCATGTAGGCAGCATCCATCTCCTGTGCTAGGAACAATTTCTGAAAATGTTCTCTCTCTCTCTCTCTCTCTCTCTCTCTCTCTCTCTCTCTGGTCATGCTCCAAATATTGGTTTAAGATGTACATTTAAGATAAAACTAGGTAATGTGGAGTTCTTTCAAGTCTTCAAAGCCCTCTTTGATCAAATCAGTTGTCTTAAAGGAAAATTGCTGGTCACTTGGATTTCTGCATTTGAGGTACAAAAGACCCTTCTAAATTGTCTTCATTTCTAACATCCCCTTCATCCTTTTCCTCTCTCCTCCCTCTGACAAAGCCTCACACTCTATCAGTGCTGTATCGCTTGCTATATATGGGTTCTGTATTTCCACTCTGCCTCCATTGTACCTTTTTGATCTCTAAAATGCTTATCTTTTTAATACAGTGGGATCATACCAGAGGGGAATAGGCCACCCAAACAAAATGAAAAGTAGTGTGTGTGTGTGTGTGTGTGTGTGTGTGTGTGTGTGGTGGGGGGAAACAGCAGTCAATGTACACCATGCGTGGGGAGAATAAAAGGCTGTGTGATTCTGCAAACTGGCTCAATGCCCTTTTGTTGCCTTTTGCAATGGTGCCTACAGCCTCCTTTCATCCTGAGACAGAACGCTGCAGCCTTTATATATATTGTCACTTTACTCTTCTGTGGGTATTCTGGAAACATCTTAAAATGGAAAGTCAAATCATAATACAAAGTGACCTTGACCTGGATTCTTCTTACTTTGCTTTCTGCTGCCCCATTTGTACTGCCCACTGATTTCCACTTGCCGTCCAAAACATCTTGCCTACAGAAAACCAAGGATTTGTGGGTGGGTGCTATTCTTGGATGCTTAGTTTGGCAGAGAGATGGAAATGATGAGCTGCTGGTTATGGATATCGTCGTTTTCCCACTGCAGCCCTGGTTATGTATTTATTGTGCAACCTACCATGCTGAATTACTAAGCAAATCCTTCCATTGATCTACATGAAGCAATCTTTCAACACCCTTTATTTTAGCAGCTGTAAGCATATTGTAGTTTGGCAAAGGTGTCCACTTGCACATGTTTAAATATGTGTATTTAGACAGTGGCCTAAGCATAGCACTGGGATCATACTTTGAGGGGGGGGACACAAAAGTGGCAGAACTGAAGTACTGTCAATTACCTCCCCTGCTGCTGCAAGCTACTCCAGGGGGATATCTTCCCTCTTCTAATAATAGTGAACTCAGTTGGCGAGGGTCAACATAATTGGAGCCACTGAGACCCAAGAGGGAAGGCATCAACATGCTCAGGAGAATAATTTAAAGCCTATAGGAGCAAATTCCTATTACTACCACCTCCAAAATTTAAAAATACAGCGGTACCTTGGGTTAAGAACTTAATTCGTTCTGGAGGTCTTCTCTTAACATGAAACTGTTCTTAACTTGAGGTACCACTTTAGCTAATGGGGCCTCCCGGTGCTGCTGCACCGCCCGAGCACGATTTCTGTTCTCATCCTGAAGCAAAGTTCTTAACCCGAGGTACTATTTCCGGGTTAGCGGAGTCTGTAACCTGAAGCGTCTGTAACCTGAAGCATCTGTAACCCAAGGTACCACTGTACCACTGAAGATTGAGCATGCTCAGTAGCCATTGAACATTGGTTGGAAAATGGGGTCGAGGCAGAATCCTGGAAAAGAATATGGCTGGTTGGAATCCTAGTTGGAGCTCTCCTTTTAGGTGAAGATACACTGCAGGCAGTGCTATTTTTCTAGAAAAAGAGGTACCAGAACTCACCATTAACACTTCCCTCGTTCTCTTAGAATGGCAATGGCGCCCATTTTAGCAGTGTCAGAACCCACCTGAGAGGTGCCAGAACTGAGTTCCAGCTGAAAAAACAACCCTGACTGCAGGATTGTGGTTTGTTAAGTCCTACATGTCTGCTCTCGATGGTTCAAATCCCCACGATGGGGTGAGCTCCCGTTACTCGGTCCCAACTCCTTACCTTTACATGTCCACTCCAGATCAGCATTGTATGCTTTTCTCTTACCTCAAAACCACTGTGGTTTTAAGAGAATGCACTTAGTCCAGGCCTTTACACCGAACTTTCCTTTGAATCCTTCCAGGCTGATAGAGACAAATGTTGAAGCCCTGTTCTTGCCTATAAGAAAATTAAGCCATTTCAACCAGCCCAGTGCACTTCACGTTTCTGGAACTATATTGTGAACAAGCTTGCAATAATGTCAGACCAGCACAAACTGCAGGATGAGTTGCTGAAAGTATTTATCACTAGGCTCTATGGCACTCAAACTTTAAATTCATAGTAGATGGGTGGTAGATTGCTGTGGTAGATTGCAGACAGCTGAAGCCAAGATACAGTCTTAAATAAATATTTTGTCTAGCATCCTGTCAATTTTTTTTGTTGCCTTTGGATTTTTGTGTGTTTAAAAGCATATTTATTCCACCATTAGCCAAGCTGTATTCTGTATGGTGGAGTTGGTGCAGAGAGTATGTTTAAAATGAATGTGGAGCGGGTGTTGCTTTAAAGGTGGTGAGGTTCAATATGTATGTGGGGGAAATGTATGCATGGGTGGATGACAACAGAGTCCAAATTGTAAATGGGGACATTGACCTAGACTGTGGCTCGGTGCTAAGAGTACTTGCTTTTCATGCAGAAGGTCCCAGATTCAATCCCTGGCACCGTCCAAGTAGGCTTGGGAGATGTACCGATCTGAAAACCTAGAGAGCTGCTGCTACTCAAGTGTAGTGAAAGCAGTACTGAGATAGGTGGACCCAACGCTCTGACTCACAGCTTCCTATGTTCCTGTAAGAGAAGTGTATTAAAATAAGGGCCATTTCTAAAATGGAGAGCAAACTTGTAGATTTAATTGCATTTCTTTAATTAAATGGTTTGATTCTCTCTCCCCTTCCCCACCTAAGCTATCTTGGAGATTCTTCTCAAACAGAAGGAGGGGTAGAAATTAAGTATTCCTACCCTTGGCTTAGGGATGTTTGTGTTTTGCCACCTGCTTTTGTTTCCTTCCATTCTGCTTTGATAGATTCATTTCTGTCAGACAATGCAAAAGGGAGGTGTGACTTGCGTTTCTCTCTCTTTGGAATGAACCCTTAATCTGCTCATAATTACATTAGAAATTCCCAATGATTAAAAAGGTGCTGCTGACATTCATTTGGCCCCCGTGCATTGAGGAAGCAAGCAGAGGTCCTGAGAGGCAATAGACCTGATTGATGGGCAGGAGTGTACAGAATAGCAATTTTTTTTTTGTCTTGTGTGTTTAATAAAGTGGTGATTGATGACAAAATACGGGCCAGGGCCCCCCTGGCTAAGAGGCCAGGAGAGGCAGTTAAGCACCGAAGCTGCTTAACTTAATGAGGCCCTGCAATAAAAATGAGGCATAATGAGTGAAGTATAATAGTGCTGTTATGTTTATAACTCCGCTTCATTGGCAGAGAGCTGACTCTGTGGATATAGAGGAAGGATTTCTGTTGGGTGCAACCTCTGTGGATGGCCAAATCCTATAAATCTTTATTCAATTGCAGTGGCAAAGAGGGTATAACAACCAATTATTGTGCTCTGCCAGTGAGGGTTTCCTTCAGATATCATCTCATCAGGAGGTCCATTTCCTATGATGTAGGAATTAGGCCTTTAGCATGGTGGCACCTAGCCTTTCACAGCTCCTTCCTAGTATATATTAGTCAGACACCATCTCTGTTGACATTTCGGCTCCCATTGCAAAATCCTCCTTTTTCAGCAAACCTTTTAAGTGGGGATCTTTTCCCATTCTCTCTCTGTTTTGTGTTTTGGATCTGAAGTTTATTTTAGTTGTGATTTCTTTGTTTTTATTGTTCAGATTGTTTTTATAAATGAAATGGTACAATCGTTTCTTGCTGTGAATCAGTTTGATATATTTTATGGGAAACAATTCATAAATGGAAATCAATAAATAAAAGTGGGGGTTGATGGGGGAAAGTATTGGTCACAACTAGGGATAGGCAGTTGTGTCAGTTTCTCTTTTTTGTTTTCCCACCCTTAGGGTGTGTGCATAAAGTGCATTTGCTGCCTTCTTCAAGTGCATTTTTGGATCAGTGTACTGTAACATATTGTTAACTTTGTGTTGCTGTTATAATGTTATTTTGGAGTTTTGAAAGCACATAGAGCAGTTATAAGCCCCCTTACATTTTGCAATGCATCCTGAAGCACCCCTTGCCTTGGTATGGAAACTGAGAGCACATTCTCTGTGAACCTTCTATTGGGGAAGGTCTTATGATGTTGTTGGGCTGCAGGTTCCACTAATAGTTTGCTCTTTAAAAGGGCATGCGGAAACTGCCACCAGTAACTCTCTTCTGTACTTGAAAACAATGGGAAAGGGGCTGGCTTCTGTCATAGCATTTATTATTTGCAAGTACTTCTCCCAGTTCATCCAAATCCCAAATAGTTCCCTCCTTTCAGAAGAGAGCTAAGCCACATAACTACACAGTTCACAGACTACCCCTTCCAATGTGACCTTTGGTGGTGGCAGAGGGGTGGATGGGTGCTGAAGTGGGAAACTTAACTTTGGATGTCCTGCATCATGTATACTCCAGCATATCCAAGTAGGGCTGGGAGAGAACCCCTTTTGAAATCCTGGAGAGCCAGTGCCTGTCAATGTGGATAGTACCAATGTCCTAATTTGCTATAAGGCCTCTCTAGTGCAGTGGTGGAAAGCTCTGCATTGCTGGAGCAGTCAAGGGGTAGTAAGGGCAAAAAGGGGGTGAATAGCTGTGCCGTTGCTTCTCTAGAGCAGATGGGGGGAAACCTATGGTCCTCCAGGTGTTACTATACTACAACCCCCACAATCCTAGGCCATAGAACATGTTTGCTAGGACTGATGGGAATTGTAGGTCAGCAACCTCTGGTGGGTCAAAGGTTCCTTGTTGCAGCTCTAAAGGCTGATGCACTTGAGGAAAAGAGGGCTGAGCAGATAAGAAAGCAAAAGATGAAACCATGATCTTAGTTCTGAGCTATGGCTAATCCAAACTATCGTTTGACATGAGTTTGAACTGAGCATCAGGGGCAATCACAAGTTAGCCTCTATGGAGTGTGAGGAATTTCATTTAGTATTTCTAGACTAGTTGTACAAAACACTGGTTTTCTTAGTGATATAGGGGAACTAGTTAATTGTGTTAGAAAAGACCTAGATTGCACCTACAGTATGTCCCAAGACTGAGTGCCTGAGAGGTGTTGATTCCCTCATAAAACCAGTGTTCAGATAGTATCATGACAATTGCCCAGGAAACAATCCCTTGCCATATTTCATTCCCTTGGTGATAGGTAAGAGAATTTCAGATGCATGGAGAAGGTGTGTGTGTGTGTGTGGTGGATTAGCACAGTCATCCTAAAGCAGAGTCTTTTAAAATGCTGTTAGTTAAACTTCAATGACTCCTATTCTAATAATGAGGGGAAGAGAAACTAGCACTCTAAATGATGCATGTAGCTCTTGAAATGTGTGCTAATTGAAAATAGATATTTACTTCAAATGAAAATGTAATACAATAAAAGGATGGGTTTGGGAACTCCACGCATGAAGCAGCAAGCATTTCTGAAACCTCTTCATCTGATCTGTAAATGTTTTCTGTTCATGTGTGGAGGATCAGGCACCTGCGTGTCTACCTACCCATCAAAGTTCTTATGGGGGAAGGATAGGAACTCTGTTGTGGAGAACATGGTTTGCATGCTAAATCTCAAGTTCAGTCCCTGGTATCTCACGTTGAAGACCTGTGGTAACAGGACTGCCTGAAGCCTTGGGAGACCAACTGGAGTGGATAGGCAGATTGCTTAACTCCTCATAAGCCAATTCCATATGTTCTCCTCCATTTCTTTGGGGTTACTGCTTGAAGACCAGTTTCCACAGTACTTGAGGGAAGGCTGTAGGGCTATCAAATAGCCGATCTAGCTGTGGTTAGACACTGGCCAAACATAAGTATTACATTTTAGCAGTGCTTTTTTCTGGGGGGACGCAGGGGGACACATACCCCTAAACATTTTGTGAATCTAAGTTTGGCCTCATTGAGGGGCAGTGTTTCAATATGAGTAGGGAAATGAGAGTACCCCTAAACATTTTTTAAGGAAAAAAACCACTGCATTTTAAACGGATTTTTTATATGTATATCGTTTTAATTCTATTAATGTTTGGTTGCATTTTTCTGTATTTAGTCATGCTTGTTTTTATCTGTAAGGCGCTTTGAGTCCCACCAGGGGGAAAGGCAGGGTATAAATAAATATATAAAACAACAGCAGTGCTTTGAAGAAAAGGTGGCACAGGGGAGCTACAGTCAAGTTTCTTAAGGGCACAGAGAGGGAGAGAGTGAAAGAAAATGCAACCAGTCTTGACAAGGAGCCCACTACCTGTTGCATTAATTGTGTGGTCTGAAGCTACATCGGGGGATTTAAAAACAAAACAAAAGCCCTTAGCATAGGGGGAAGGAGGGATATTTCTATTTGGACTAGCATATGGGAAGGGGAGGTTTTAACCCTTCCCAGGTGTGATCCAAGCACACACACCCCTCTCTGCTGTAATTAGCAATAGAATAAAGCTGTGTTCATGCTGATGAGCATCCTTCCTCCTGACCAGGACTATTTTCCTAGTTTATATTTTGCCACTATAGTGTGTGTGTGTGTGTGTGTGTGTGAGAGAGAGAGAGAGAGAGAGAGAGAGAGAGAGAGGTGCGTATGTGTATCCTCATTTGCGCTATCAATGCACATGGAACAGCTTTGCCTCTGTCCTTCCCACCTGTCAATCAGACTCCTAGAGGCGATAGCAGCAGCCTTTTCAAGCCAGTCTGCATCCAAAGCGGTCTGATTTGTGACCCGCTTCCAATAAAGGTCAAGCTGTCAATGCTCCAAAGCAAAAGGTCCCACCCTACAGAGTGTCTTCCATTGCACCCACCCTGGATTGAAACTGAGCTGATTCTAATCCCATTATGCATAACTCCCTTGTTTGTTTTCTTCTTAGGGATGCATTAGTATACATTTGCATTGATTCTGTCTGATCATATGCATAGAATTCAAATTGAAATAGGGTTGAATAGATTTGAATATTAACAAAGCATTTCTTTTTCTTCTTCTTTCTCCGTTTCCATTTGGAGTTTGAAATAGCAGGCAGCATTATGCCGGAAAGAAGTCGAGTTTCTGTCAGCAGTAGTGTCCCTCTGTCCTGCTAGAGATACTGCAGGTTTCTGCCCTGGGATATGGTTGGAAAACAGCCCACACAGAGCAGGTGTCAATATTAAGTAGTAGTTCTCCATGGAGTAGATTAAGGGATGGCAATCTATTTGGGCCCTACGTTTGCAAATCAGAGAAATTGGCTACTATAAAATATTTCTTTCCAGCCTTTTTTCAACTCTGTAGGTGCCCATGGGGCCACATCAACACTCCCTGGGACAGATGAATGAACAAGCAAAGAAATTCTATTCAAGATAGATAGTAGTAGAAGCAAACCTGTAAGAGTAAGTAACACATTACTCAGTAGAGAGCCCAACCACTAAGAAACGGTTGGGATAATTTCTTCTCCTCTGGATACTTTTTGCAAATAAAAGATCCTCATAAGTTTTCTGCTCACAAACAAGATGAACAGCTTTGAGACAATTTTGTGTGCCAGCTATAGTCGAACGAAGGTTTGTCTCGCAATCTACTGCTGGTTTGTGCATGT